TGGGGAATGGAGCACGGGGTCTTTCCCCTCCAGGTGATGCTGGCCCCAAGGCTGGCTTGGGCTGGGAGACTGTGGCTGGCTGTGGGGGGGCAGGGAATGGGGCATGGACCCTTTCCCCTCGAGGGGGCACTGGCCCCAAGGCTGGCTTGGACTGGGAGACTGGCTAGCTCGGAGAGGGGGGCGTGGCTGGCTGGCTCCGGGGTCTCTCTCTGACTTTCCTCTTCCTGCAGGTGTGGTGCTGGGGAAGGGTGGAGGTGCCATCTCGCAGATGCTCTGGCCGTTCCAGCTGGGCCTGGGGGGCCCCGTGGGCTCTGGCCTCCAGCCCTTCCCATGGATCCACCTCCGGGACGTGGCCGGTGTCGTGTGCCATGCCCTGGAGAAGGAGGGTGTGCGTGGGGTTCTCAACGGGGTCTCCCCGGCCTCGTCTGGCACCTCCAACGCCGACTTCGCCCGGGAGCTGGGCTTGGCCCTGGGGCGCCCGGCCCTGCTGCCCCTGCCCGGCTGGGCAGTGCGGGGTGTCTTCGGGGCTGAGCGCGCCGTCATGCTGCTGGAGGGCCAGCGAGTGGCGCCGAAACGCACCCTGGAGAGTGGCTACTGCTTCGTGTACCCCGACCTGCCCTCTGCCCTGCAGGACATCGTGTCCTGAGCGGCTTAGGGGGGGCTGATCCCAGTGCCCCTGGGATGCCCCTGTTCTGGGGGGATCAGCCCCTAGAGAGACCCCTTATCTCTGGCTCCCACAGCCCAGCTCTGAGCCTCCTGGCTGTCTTAGCCTGAACTTTGTGGGGCCCCTCATGAGCCCTCCCCAGTGTCCCCCCCCAATACTCCCCAGCCTCTTGCTGGGGCTCACCCTGTTCTTATCCTCCCCAGCCCCCTTCTCTGAGTGGGAATGCTCCCTTTTGAGCCCCTCCAGAAATCCTCCCTCCCAGTCCTTCTCGGAGGGTGTGGGGGGGGTGCCCTACTGTGACCCCTCCTGCCCCACCCCCATCCGTGCTGCGCTGACAGTGCATTCAGGCTGTTTCCAAGCTCCTGGCACTTTATGGAGCTGGAGTTCTGCCGCAAAGGCTGCTGGGAATTGTAGTTTTTGGCTGCACTGCAGCCCCCCTCTCCCTCTCACCCTGTATACAGCCTTGTCCAGTTTGCAATAAACGGCTGATGGGTCAATCGCTGCTGTTTGGGAAAGGGGGGGGTGGTCGCTTGGTCAATGGTGGTGCTAGGGCTGGGGGGGGGGATTCAGAGGCTGGACTGTCCTCATATAGGCAGTGCTGTCCCTAGTGCCTGCAGCTCCCAATACGGTGGGAGAGACCAGGCAGGGAATGGGAGCCAGGTGTCCAGGAGGATAGTGCAGGGTGCTCATCCTTAGGGAGGGTCTGACAGGTCATAGGGCAGGGAGGGGGAAGGAGAGCGAGGAGTCTGGGATGGCTGTGCAGGTCCCAGCACAAAGATGGGAACGGGATCCAGGCATCCGGGAGGGCAGTGCAGGGCCTTCACTGCTAGAGGGTCCCACAGTTCTTAGGGGAGGAATGGGAAAGGTGCCTGGGAACAACCATCGTGCTCATGTACAAGCTGAGAGGGCTGAGTCAAGTGGAGACTAGGGCTGGCTGGGCTCTGGAGACCAGACAGTAGCTGCCTGGCCTGGGATGTGGGTCTGGGTCCCCCAGCATGGGGTAGTATAGGTTATTCCTGTGTGGGCATAACTGCCTCCATGCACATGGTTGTACCGGTATAACTGTAGAGGTGAAATTGCATCTCTGATCCAAATAGTTATACTGCTACCGACTCTGGCTGTAGTCCTGGCCTTCATTTCACACCTCAGAAAACAATGGAGAAGGAGTCCCAGAACACTGCCTGTGTAAAATCCAAGTGTTGATCTGTTGCTTTGGAAGACCTTGGCTGACACCTCTTTGAACTGTCCCCTGGGGTCTCTAACCGTTCCTTGTGTGTTTCACTTTGCTTTTCCTGATGGAAATTTCTGCTGGCATCATTCTTTTGTGGAAATTTTATATTCCACAAATCCCCATTTTCCATCAGGAAACCCTGGTTCAAATTTTTGCCTCACTGCCCTAATGCAATAATAAGCCATGGGGGTAAATAATTGAAGGCTTAGTTACTGCAGACAGGCTGCGTTCTCCTCTAGATCTCTGTGCAAACATTCCCCCTGACAAATGAGTGCTCCACTGTGCATCAAGGGGACTGTATATGTAGTCCTGAGTTTATCTCCCAGCCCCTGGGCTGTAATTAGACATAGTGTGTCTCTTTTTGACTTTAGAAGAGAGCCAAAGCTCAAGGCCTTGCCATTTGTTTCCACTAGGGGTATTTTCTGGGATGCACTCTAGTTTATTTCCAAAGATGATACAGAAGTCCTGTTTCCCTGAACACAGCTACAGACAGTGCTTCCGTTTGCTGGTCCAAGCCAGCCTTTCCAGCTGGCACTTCTGTTACTGTCTGCTTGGCCTTCTCTCCTCCCCTTCTCCCTCATGCAAAGATAAAACCTGTGTCACCAAGCAAAGCCCTTAGCTATCATGGCCTGGGAAATCCATTGAGCTGCTTCTGCTTTAGCTTTTCCATGTGACTGTGTTTTGAATGCTACTGCTGTTGTTTCAGCCACCCAGCTGCAATGGCTTCTTTACATTGATCCTGCATGAAGGGGACCAGTACCGCCCCACCCATTACTACAAGGTTTAATAACGGGACAATTGAGGTGCTAGAGGAGCACTCAAGGAAGACAAGGCTGTTGCAGAGAAACTAAACGAATTTTTTGCATCAGTCTTTACTGTAGAGGATGTGAGGGAGATTCCCACACCTAAGCCATTCTTTTTAAGTGACAAATCTGAGGAACTGTCCCAGATTGAGATGTCATTAGAGGAGGTTTTGAAACAAATTGATAAACTAAACAGTAATAAGTCACCGGACCAGAAGGGATTCAGATATGAAATCTTAGAACTACTAACTGGTATGTAACGAATCGCTTAAATCAGCCAGACCTGATGACTGGAGGATAGCTAATGTCACACTGATTTTTTTTTAAAGTCTCCAGAGGCAATCCTGGTAGTTACAGGCCAGTAAGGCTGACTTCAGTACTAGACAAATTGGTTGCAACTATAGTAAAACACAGAATTATCACATAAACAGATTAACATGATTTGTTGGGGAAGAATCAACAATGGTTTTTGTAAAGGGAAATCATGCCTCACCAATCTACTAGAATTCTTTGGAGGGGGTCAACAAGCATGTGGACAAGGAGGATCCAATGAATATAGTGTACTTGGAATTTCAGAAAGCCTTTGACAAGGTCCCTCACTAAAGGCTCTTAAGCAAAGTAAGTAGTCATGGGATAAGAGGGAAGATCCTCCCATGGATCAGTAACAGGTTAAAAGATAGGAAACAAAGGGTAGGACTAAATGGTCAGTTCTCAGAATGGAGAGTGTTAAATAGTGGTGTCTCCCAGGGGTCTGTATCGGGACTAATCCTAGTCAACATATTCATAAATGATCTGGGAAAGGGTAAACAGTGAGGTGGCAAAGTGTTAAGATGATACAAACTTATAAGGTAGTTGAGTCCAAAGCAGACTGCGAAGAATTGCAAAGGGATCTCACAAAATTGGGTGACTGGGCAGGAAAATGGCAGATGAAATTCATTGTTGATAAATGCAAAGTAATGCACATTGGAAAACATCCCAATTATACATATAAAATGATGGGGTCTAAATTAGGTATTACCACTCAAGAAAGAGATCTTGGAGTCATTGTGGATAGTTCTCAGAAAACATCCACTCAATGTGCAGAGGGATTCAAGAAAGCAAACAGAATGTTGGGGATCATTAAGAAAGGGATAGATAAGACAGAAAGTATCATAATCATAGAAATATAGGACTGGAAGGGACCTTGTGAGGTCTTTTAGTCCAGTCCCTGCACTCAAGACAGAACTAAGTAGTAAATATAATCCCACTGTATAAATCCATGATCTGTCCACACCTTGAATACTGCATGCAGTTCTAGTCACCCCATCTCAAAAAATGGATTGGAAATGAAAAATGTGCAGAGAAGGGCAACAAAAATGATTGGGGTATGGAACAGCTTTCATGAGGAGAGATTTTAAAAGACTGCAATAGTTCAGTTTAGGATGACTAGGGATGGAGATATGATAGAAGTCTATAAAATTGGACACTCAGGTCAGCAACACCTGCTGTAGCTACCAGCAGGGTTCAGCCAGTGGGTGGGCTGGGGAGACGGGTCTAGAATGGACATACAAGGTTCTACTTGGCTTTAGAGTGGCTGTGCATTGATCTAGAATGACTCTTCGTGTGGATATGGATAGATCTAGAATGGAACTGCCTCAATCAAAATGAATCTAGCCTGAATTTACATGTATTTAGTTGGGCATTCATGCATCTAGAATGGCTCTGCAATGCGTGCAGGTATTGACGTGCAGGTCTACATGTATCTGGTGGACTCATCCCGCCCCCTCATCCATTAGATATCCCAGCTGCACGACAGGGATCCAAAGTGAAACTGCAATGGGTGAGGTTGGACTTTATCAATAAGTGTTTGATAAAAGAGGGGAATATCCTTAATGACACGGGTTCGTGGAGAACAGGCCGTGTTCAGTGACCCTGCTGTCATCCTTGGGGGCCGGTAAGAGTCTGGTAAAGTCTGCGGAGGACCGAGAGATTGGTGATAAAGAACAGGGAGGATGTCTCACAGCTATGCACCGATCTGGGTGGTGAGCTGGGCTCAATCAAACAGACATCTGAAACCAATCAAATGCAAGGTCAGACATCAAGGGATGTCACTCACGCCAACTGGACGGGGGCTGTATCCTGAAGAGCAAGGACTCTGAAAGGGACTTAGGGGTCATGGTGGAAACTGACCCAGCATGAGCTCCCAGTGCGATGCTGGAGCTAAGCGGGCAGACGCCGTGTGTGGGAGTATAAACCAGGGGATATCGAGTAGGAGCGAGGGAGGGGGAGGGGGTGTCACCTCTGGACATGGCCTTGGTGAGACTGTACCGGGAGACTGTATCCAGCTCTGGTGTCCACCCCTCACACAGGAAGTTGGCAAGTTGGAAGGAGCAACCAGAGGAAGTCAAGGTCTGGAGCCCCAGCCTGGCGGGAAGAGCTCCAAGGGGATTGATCTCCTGAGGTGATCGGAGGCAAAGAGGGCACTCAGCCCCCATCTGTAGGAACCTCAGTGGGGAGGGGGTTTCTGAGTGCAGGGGGCTCTTCGACCTCGCTGGCTAAAGCAGGACGAGACCAGGTGGCCGGGAGTAGGGTGACCAGATGTCCCGATTTTATAGGGACAGTCCCGATTTTTGGGTCTTTTTCTTATCTAGGCTCCTATTACCCCGCACCCCCTGTCCCAATTTTTCACACTTGCTGTCTGGTCACCCTAGCCGGGAGCTTGAATCAGCAACAATCCAGTTGGAGCTAAGGTGCAAATCAAATCAAATCGAGCAGCCTGGGAATCTAGGTGCAGAAAAGCCCAAGGGCGTTTCTCACACTTATAGCAAGGGTGGGGAGCAGCGTTAGCCACATCCGCAGCCAGGTTGACTGGGCACCAGAGGAGGGAGGAAACCCCTCCCCCCTGATGTGGGCATGGCTGTGACTTCTCCCAGGGGCATTTCCACCCCTGGTCCATCCAGGTGGGGGTTTCCAGGAAACCAGGTACTGCCTTTGTGGTTACCAGACCCTGCCCTCCCCTCCCAGGTCCATATAACCTCCAGGGCTGAGACAGAGGCTCTGTGTCTGTCCCTAGATGGCTCTGAGGATGCAGCTCTTGATCCTGGTCCTGTTCTCTGTGGCCTTTCTCCTGCCCCCCGGGGCTCAGGCTGGTGAGGACAGAGGTGGGGCATTGGGGCCCATGGG